TTACTGGTAGTCTCGCAACTCTACTTACATACGAACCATATGTCTTGTCGGGCTTGCTCTGACAACATTCAAATTTTGCTATGACGAGGTTAGTTTAAATGTGCACAAAATCTTGGTCAGCATGCCTAAACGTGGTTATGAAGGCTAGCATATTGCGACCCCTATATTGGTTGCGTTCTAATGTTTGATTTATTAAAATGCTCTGAAAACATAATATATACGAAGAAAAGTTGGGTTTTGAGGAATCGCTTGTTTCATAATTATTGAGCTTAATTCCATTTCGAGTGAAAGTGTTGGGTGAAGATGATTGTTCCAGCAAAGCCAATCGACAGCCGTCGTTCTCTGGTGGAACCGACCTTCGAATCTCTTCACCCAACACCTCCACTCGAAATGGAAGTAAGCTGAACAATTATGAAAACATAGCCAAGCTGAAAAAACGAGATCAGACCACTCCGGCCTACCTAAAGTCTATCGGAGTTCATCAAGGACGTCCTGATGAAACATGTAGCAAGTTGATGGCTGGCCGACTATTGGCATTTATGAGCAAATCGAGGATCTCAAGCATAGTCTCAAAGGCCATGAATATGAGATTTACAGAAAGAACTATCGGTTCCGCTAAGAGTGAAATAATTGAGACTTTTTAAGCATAGTTTCGAGAAAAATTGGCGAAGAAAGCTTCAATTCAAAAATAATAGGACTTTACACTCATAGCAGCCTAGGGTGATCAGAGATATTATTTAAATAATGATTTTACTCCTTCATTTCACCGTTGTAGATGGCTGCTTTTATTTAAGAACATTTGGCATTTAAACTATACACTTAACGACAATCATGGGTATAGCTGTATTTACCTTATTTCGTCTAAGTAATAGTTGTTGTGGTAGTAGAATTTTCCCACAATTTCCATTGAATTTTACAAAAGTTGTTCTCATCCAAGGCTATGTGAAATTGAATGGAAACGTCAGCCATACTCATATCATTGTGGGAAAATTCTAGTACCAGTCCTTCATCACCTTAAACCAAATAGGGTGAATACTTCCCATACTACTGATTTACTGGTAGTCGCGAAAGTCTACTCAAATATGAAAAATATCTTCATAGCGTCTTCCGTCAAGCTGACGGCTGGTTGAGTGCGAAACGACTGTACTCTCACTTTCGACAGCCTGTCAACCATAAACTTATTGACCTTCATCATTTCGGCCACCTTGTCCTCACCTGAAAAAGTCTATCCTCTGTTCGACAGGCTCTTTGTTTTGCTTTTTATGGCCTAATAAGCCTGTTACACAACAGTCCAGTCGCTCATGCTCGAGCACATATCCACAAGAGTAGACAAATAAGATAAGTAACGACAATTATGCTTACATGTGCAACTTCTTGCCGGGCTATCCATGGCTGAGCTTATCTTTGCAACTCTCCCATTTGAGTTGGCCGGCCCTGTGAATCTGCATCCTTATCCCGTTAGCGCGAAGAAAGGCATACAGATGGCATACATAATTCAATTGTCTCTCTCCACCGGACGAGACTGCATTTTCTCCACGGCGCAGCATTTGCCCAAAGCCAAACTTTCCTTGCTCCCCTGCTCCTCCGAGTCCTCGGCATCTCCCCATCCGTTCAACTCGCCTCAGTCCTATCCTCGCCGATCCAGGCCGTCCACCTCGGCTCTGCCCGGCTCACGGTTGCTGAGACGGCAAGGATTAAGTCTGCCCAGTGAGGATGTGGTATGGCAATGACCAGACTGACTGACAAACCAAGCCGCAGGGGGGTGGGGTGGGGTGGGGTGGGGGTCTTGGAGTGAGGCAGAGTCGTGGGGATATGTGCATTGCCTGGTCGGCCTGACGAGGAGAGAGCAGGCAGTGCAAGAATTGGGGGGGGGATGCGGCAGAAGTGGCATGCAATGAACCAGAATGGGCGAACTGGGCCAGTCTGAAGGATTTCCCCAGACAAAGTTCTTTTGAATTCCTCTTTATACAGAAATTGAAGCATTTCTCCACAACAAAATAGGCCTAGGTTACTCTGAAGCAGGCACAAGTTTTTTTTTTTTCCTTTTCTCTATCGCCTCGGAGCAGGCGATTGTGTCTAAGGAAGGTGCACACCGTCGGCACTAACCGGGCAAGACGGATTTCTTCTGCGTTGGCGACGAATTCAGCATAAAAGAGGAACTCGCTGACCGAGGATTAGTACTGCAGGCTCGAGCGAATGCTGCCTATGCCTCAGTGGACTGGGGCTTGCATGGAACGGTTGGGATACAAAGGCCGACACAAAAGTTCTGCATCTCAACATCTCCGCTCGACAGAATAGCACCGCTCTCCAGACACCCATGAGCATCATGTCTCATCTAAAGACTGTATGTAGTGGTGTTTTGGTACTGTTGTTTGAATTACAATGCGATTCAAAGGTAGATCTCACCCGAAGACGGCGATTGAGTTGTGTTGTAGAGCAGCCGATTGGCTGTACT